CAGCCAGGGTTGTTATATAAAGAAACCTGTCCTGAAAACCAAAACAATTAAAATAATAAAATTAAATTGTACAAGTTGTAAAAGGATACATGAAATATGAGTACTGGTTTGGAAATAAGGTCTCACGGTAGCACAGGCTGATCTGGAACTCACTATAGAGCTAGCCTTAAACTCATGACAATCTTTGTGCCTCAATGTATATTGTAAAAATCTAGAAAACATTAGAACATATTATACATATATGAGTACAGACATATATACATATACACACATGGAAACATATAAGCAATATCTTTAAAGGAGATCCACCAGGCAGGCATATCATTTACCTGCAATCCCAGTACTCAAAGGCTGAGTCAAGGGTGATCAATGCAAGAGGCCAGCCTGGGCAACATAATATGTGATGACTAGTTTATGTCAACTTGACATAAGCTGAAGTCATCTATCTAAGAGGAGGGAACCCCAATTAAGAAAATGCCTCAATCCGGGTGTGGTGGCACATATCTTTAACCTAACACTCTTTAACCCTAGCGCTTGGGAGGCAGAGGCAGGCTGATTTCTCAGTTCTAGGCCAGCCTGGAGAGAATTCCAGGACAGCAAGAACTACTAAACCCTGTCTCAAAAAACAAAAGCCAAAAACCAAAACCAAAACCCAAGACAAAAAAAGAAAAAGCCTCCCTAAGATCAAACTGTAGGGGTGGGCAGTGTTGGTGCACAACTTTAATCTCAGCATTCAGGAGGCAGAGGCAGGCTGATCTCTGTGAGTTCCAGATCAGCCTGGTCTACTGAGCAAGTTCCATTCCAGGACAAAACTACAGAGAGAAACAATGTCTTGTAAAAAAGCAAACAAAAAATCAGGCTGCTGGAAAGTCTCTAGGTCATTTTCTTAACTAATGATTGATGGGGTAGGGCTCAGTCCATTGTGGGAGGGGTGCCATCCCTGAACCAGTGGTCCTGGTTTCTAGAAGAAAGCAAGTTAAGCAAGGCAGTAAGCAGCACTCCTCCTGGCCTCTGCACCAGCTCCTGCCCCAGGGATCCTGTCCTGTTTGAGTTCCTGTCCTGACTTTCCTCAGTGATACATTGTGATATGGAAGTGTAAGCCAAATAAACCCTTTCCTTCCCTAACCAACTTGCTTTAAATTATGATGTTTCATCATAGTCATAGTAGCCCTAACCAAAACATAGTGAGACCCTGTTTTTAAAAATCAGGAGAGAACAAATACAGGATGTTGGTTATTTCTAGAAATACAGAGGATTTTTTGTCGTATATTTTATCTTCTAAACTGTATAGTAAATATGTGGGTATTTGCTATACATTTTCAATGGTTTGGCCTAAAATAAATAATTCATATTTTTATTTGTAATACTGAAAGACAAAGATATACAACAAAATATTAATAGTTAAATTTATATCAGTAGTAGCTTATTGGTTTTTTTTTGGAGGGGAGGTTTCAAGACAGGGTTTCTCTATGTAGCCTTGGCTGACCTAGAACTCACTCTGTAGACCAGACTGACCTCGAACTCAGAGATCCACCTGCCTCTGGCTTCTGAGTGCTGGGATTAAAGGCATGGGCCACTACTGCCTGGCTGGTTAGGGTTTCTATTGCTGTGATAAAACACCATAACCAAAACTAACTTGTAAACAGAAAGTGCTTATTTCAGGTTATACTTTCAGGTAACAGTCTATCACTGAGGGAAGTCAGGGCAGGAACTCAAATAGGGCAGGAACCTGGAGGCAGAAGCTGAGGCAGAGGCCATAGGGGAGCGAGTGCTGCTTGCTGGCTTGTTCACCGTGGCTTGCTTGCTCATTATCCCCATCCCAGCAACCCTTGCTATCACCTGTCCAGGGGCGGCACCACTCACAATGGGCTGGGCTCTCCCACACCAATCAATAATTAGAAATACCCCCTCACGCACACCCACAGGCCAATTTTGTAGAGGCGTTTCCTCAACTGTGGTTCCCTTTTCTCTGACTACTCCAGTTTGTATCAAGTTGACAAAAACCCCAAACCAACCAACCAACCAAACCCTCCACAAAAATAAAACAACCAGCCCAGACAAATAGCTTTCTAATTTTGTCTAGCATCATAGTCATTGGGCTGGCTTATTAAAATATTAATTATAAGGCTCCATGGCCAGAATTTACTTTAAGAAAATTAAGTTTGGGGGCTGGAGAGATGGCTCAGAGGTTAAGAGCACTGGCTGCTCTTCCAGAGGTCCTGAGTTCAATTCCCAGCAACCACATGGTGGCTCACAGCCATCTGTAAAGAGATCTGGTGTCCTCTTCTGGCCTGCAGACAGACATGGAGGCAGGATGTTGTATTCAGAATAAATAAATCTTTAGAAAAAAAAAGAAAATTAAGTTTGATCCAGAGAAGGCTTTTCCCAGGCAGCTCCCTCTCCTTACTTGACGACTATCTTATATACTATCCTAGAACCTCCATCCAATGACAGACGGAAGCAGAGGCAGACACCCACAGCTAAACACTGTACTGAACTCCTGGAACCCAGTGACAGAGAGGGAGGAGTGATGAGTAAAGGGGTCAAGACTGGGTTGGTGAAACCCAGAGAAACAGCTGACCTGAACAAGGGGGAGATCTTGGACCCCAGACTGATTGCTGGGAGGCCAGCATGGGACTGATCTAGACCCCCTGAATGTGGGTGTCAGTGAGGAGGCTTAGGCAATCTATGGGGTTTTGGGTAGTACATCAGTATTTATCCCTGACACACAAATGGACTTTGAGTGCCCATCCCACAATGTGGGATGCTCTCTCAATCTGGACACTTGGGGGAGGGCCTGGGCCCTCCCCCGGAATGAAATGACAGATTCTAGAGATCCCCCATGGAGGGCCTTACCCTCCCTTGGGAATGGAGTGGGGATTGGGTGGGGGGGGCTGGGAGGGCAAGCTTGTTTCTAATTTAAATATATAATAAAGTGTTTAAAAAAAAAGAAAATTAGGTTTGACTCACCAATTTGATTTCCAACAAGTTCCTGAATATGTCCTCTGGTAGTCCAAGTACCACATTTTGAGAACTACTAATGGTAAAAATGAGATTTTGTTGCAAATTTTATCCTTACATTTCTGTGTTTTTCATGTGCCTGAGATGCAGGTATTACTGTACAGGTTTTGTTGTATCATAAACTTACTTTCATCTGTACTCTGCACTTTCACGTTCCTCCTAGGGACAACCATTCTATGTACTTGATTGAAGTGGTGATGGAGTTCAGATGGTACAGTGCTTGCCTAGCATGCAAGAGGTATTGGGTTGCACTGTAGGGCATGAATTTAAATTTAGTGTGGTGGTACACGTTTATAATCTTATTACTTCAGAGGTGCATGGAGAAGGATCAGGAGTTCAAGGTCATACTTGCTACTCAGATTCTGAGGCCAATCCTGGGTTACATGATACATTGTGTCAAAACCAAGAATTTCTGTTTGAAGATATGCTGGCTGTGCAAAGCAGGCTGATCTTGAATTCCTGGTCCTCCTGCCTTAGACTCTGTGGTCTTTGGGATTACTGTTATGCACTAACATATCTGACATTTATTTTTGTCTTTATCCTGATCCAGTTTTCCCAATGCTGTCTACTAAATTGTCCGATCCCCACTGATTTGTGGTGCAGGTCTTAATTTCACTTAACGAATTTGCTTGAAGCCAGTGTTGTACTGTGTTTCCTTGAGAGGTCAAAGACAAACTGTCCCTGGTCTGAGGAGTTCTCTCTCCTGTGGTGATGAAACCACATTAAGAACTATAGTATAGGGACTGGGGAGATGGCTCAGTGGTTAGGAGCACTTCTTGTTCTTACTGAGGACCTGGGTTTGATTGCAAGCATCCATATGGTGGCTCACAACCATCTGCAACTCTAGCTTCAGGGGATCAAATCTTTCTTATCTCCTCAGACATCAGGCATGTATGTGGTGCACATACATACATAAAGGCAAAACACACACAGCTATAAAACAAACCTATAAAACACTTTAATAAAAATTACTATATTGTAGTATTGTGATAAATCCAAGATAGGTAAAGGCAAGGTCTGTTGTGATTCTTACTCAACTGGGAGTCAGGGAAAGTGTCATAAAAACAATTGCACTGAAACGTCATCTAACAATAGGAGTTAGGCAAATTTTGTGACTACGTTGGGGGTCCAGCGGAATCTGGTGTCTAGGGTAAAAGACAGCAGCGAATCCTATACTGTAAGAAGGAGGGTAAAAGGGGCTATTTTCAGCAGGGATGGGTTGAAAGTGAAGAAACACTCCTTCAGGGTGTTGCCTTACCTAGCCTAAGCCCACCCCTAAGGTTTAGATGTGAGGAGGAAGGACTGCGATTAAATGATCAGGAAAGGTTTAAATTAATAGCTTTTTTTTGAGGGCCATCTCACTCCCCCGTCAAGTCAGGAGTCTCTTGAAGCGCTTTTAAAAGACATCCTTACCTACCCTCGCTTTATAGATATGTTTATTTTTTGCAGACACAGAAATCACTCATGAGGGAGAAGAGAGGGTAAACCGGTTAATGAAAATCCCAATAGTTTCGGTTCCTGCTCGGGGGGAAGGGGGATCTTTGCTATGCTTCAGGGCCCTGTGAGACTGGAAGGCTGATGAGAACAGCTAACTCACTTCAGGTAAGAAATACTCATCCAGACTGACACGTGATCCCCGCGGCCATTTTCTCGCACCCGGCTTGTGGCCATCGCCATCTTCCAGGAGGACAAACGATTGCCCCCTACCCTCTTCTAATGCCGCCAGTGATTACTTTGGTGACTAAGACTGGAGAACACGTATCTTAATCCTAGCCAGGAGGCCGCACAAAAGAGTTCTTTTTACAAACAGCGTTTGTGGCCAAACGAGTACGAGTACACACACCCACACCCGCCCTCACCATCGCCCCCTTTTCGCTATTTCTTTACCCGCGGGCAGCCAGGAGGCGGGGCCAGCGTGGGAGCCAGGGCGGGACTGCGCGGAGCAGCAGTTACTTCGAAACTCCGCCCACGCGCAGTACGTAAAGCAGGCGGAGCAACTATCTGGGCTGGATCCGGAAGTCCGGGCGGAGCCTAGCTGCGTGGTTCTCGTTTGTCCGGCGACGTTGTGCTTCTAGCAGCTCTTGGAGGTCTCTGCCGGAAGTATAGGTAAGACCCTACTCTCCTCTTTTCTTCGTGGTGAGCGCTCACCTAGCCAGCGAGGCAGTGGGGATCGTTTTTTTAAAGGTAAAACCAGAGATGCTCGTCATCCTGGAATAGAGAGGTGAACAGCTGGTTCGCTAGTGGTGTAGAAGGGCCCGGAAGAAAGATACACATAGCTCCACGTGTGGAGTTGTGCTGTACTGCATTCTGGTGGTCCCAGAGAGAGGATACAAAGATGCATCTTGGACATGTAGAGAGAGAGGCACAGACCTTATGTGTGAGACAAAATGTCGGTTGCCTTCCGCCTTTCAGGATATTTATCTGCTACAAAGATGCACCCTGGACATTTAGAGAGAGAGGCACAGACCTTATGTGTGAGACAAAATGTCCGTTGCTTTCCGCCTTTCAGGATATTTGTCGACATTTCGCGTTACTGCCATTACTCTCCTGTACACAGACGCCCCCTTCCGTGTAGGAGCAGATCTATTACGTTTATATTTGCATTGCCTAATTGTAGACAGGTGTCATCCCATCGGATGGTGGGGATGACATCATCCCTTCCCTATAAGAAAATAATTTCCAATTTAGGCTGAACAGTACAGACTTCTGGCTTGTTAAAAGGCACAAATCTTCATCGAGCTCTCCTTGGCTACTTCCATACTGGTATAAAGGAGCTCAGAACTGTGTACTACCTAGAGGAAGAGAGCTCCTGACGTAGAGACTTGCTCTTCCCGTGTCCACCTGTCTCCTGCAGAATAAACTCATCAGCCTGAATATCAAAATGGTTGGAGATTTATACCTATGGGCAGCCACACAGATTTATCCCCCCCCCCCCCACTGCACACTGAAGACCCCAAGAAGAATGGCTGTTTTACTGACTTTGTAAACTGGCTCACAACACACAGGAACAGACTTTAGTCCATTGCGAGGATGTTGTGTCTCTCAAGGAGACTTAGGGTGAGAGGCCCTACTCCCTTGACTACTAATATACACTGCTGACTTTCACCCACATGAAGTCTAAACCTGCCATTCCAGTCCACCGCCTATGGAAGGATTCCGACTAGCCTCCATCAGGCAAAGGACCCCACTCATCCAAAGCTTCAGGAAGTAAGCATAGCAGCCTTGCTCCTCATTGACAGATAAGAGACCTAGGCTCTACCTTTTCCAACAGTTAAGAAGTGCCTGCTATGTAGCAGAGACACCTGCAGCCACTGTGTTGTTTTCTTCAGTCAGTGACCCAAGAATAGAGGGACAAATGACCAATCCTTTCTATTGCCAGACTGTAGACCCCAGCCACATATGCAGGCGAGATCCTCCCCCTTGAGACTGAGCGCTGACCTCAGCCTATGCAGATGTAAGTAAGAATTCGGAGAACCTACTTCTGGGATTTCTAAGGCTAGATGATACTCAGAAGCCCCCTTTGAAAACATATTGTTATTCCACTTCAAGAAAAGGCAAGTCATCTCCTCTTCCCAGTGTGGAGGGGTTTAGAACTAGTCTGTTACCAAGGATATGACACTATAAGTATTCCATTCAGTGTATTGGAGGCATGGAATCCATCCAAGAATAGAGGTTCTGACCTGCTTCTCTCTTTGAGTGATTATAGTACTCATATGTGTACTCATCCATATAGGCCCTAGGTCCAATATAGGCCGTCCTCCTAATTTCTCAATTGGTAGGGCTTCCTGATTATGTTCCATGACATTTTCTTTTGCTTTTAAGGAGCCTAAAAGGGAATTGTGTACCCTAGGTCTCTCTTTAAGTTGCTGTCTTTATTCCAACAGGAAGAAATTGGGCAGACTTGAATACCTCTCTTTTCAAGCTTGTCTGATCATCATGATGAAGCTTAGACACAGTGAGTTGCCACTGCCGCCCTCTCCCAATCCTGTACATTCAGTATTTCACAACTTTGCTGTTTTGCTATTTTGAGGCTGGTCTTAAACTTGTTTTTTGTTTTGTTTTTCGAGACAGGGTTTCTCTGTGGCTTTGGAAGCTGTGCTGGGACTCGCTCTTGTAGACCAGGCTGATCTGGAACTCACAGAGATCTGCCTGCCTCTGCCTTCAGAGTGCTGGGATTAAAGGCGTGTGCCACCACCTCCTAGCTGGTCTTGAACTCTTGATTCTCCTGCCTGTACCTCCCAAGTACTTGAATTACAGACATGTTCTACCACATGTGGTTTTTTTTTAGACTAGCTTCAAGCTCTTTAAGTAGTGCATTGTGGCTTCAAACTCCCTTATCCTACGTCAGCCTCTCAAGTGTTGGGGTTGTAGGGATGTGTTGCTGTGCTCAGCTCACAACTTAAAAATTGCTCAGTATGTCCCTGCTCTCTCAGTCTGAGTCCTTTATATATGGTACCTTTGGTATTCTCACAATTTCTTGTAAGGTAGTTCTTCCTTTCTTCCCATTCTCATTTTACAGGTGAGAAAATGGAGACTCAGTAAGGTTAAGTGACTGAATCTGAGGTAAACAGCAGTAAATATTATGTGATACTGCATAATAGGCCCCAGCATCTGTCTTTATAATCTATCTTTCAGTTGATAGATACCATAAGTTTTACTGGTTTTATGTTGGAGCCACATTGAGTTTCAACCTCATCTTTTACCTGTATAGTCTTGGCCAAGTTACTTAACTCTACTTTCCTTTTTTATAACAGGCCATTAATGTCTTTGAGATTTTGTTTGTTTTGACATAGGGTCTTTTCAAGTAGCCTATGCTGGCTGTGAATTTGTCATCTTTCTGCCTGAATCCATCCATGAATTAAAGGTGACAGGAGGCACCACACCTGTCAAGAGGAATTTCTTTTTGAGTGAATGCCTCATGTAGACCAAGCTGGTCTCAAGCTCACTATGTAGTTGAGGATGACCTTGAACTTCTTTTTGTTTGTTTTTTTGAGACAGGGTTTCTCTGTAGAACAGCCCAGACTGTCCTGGAACTCACTTTATACATCAGAGATCCACCTGCTTATACCTCCCAAATTTTGGGATTAAAGGTATGCTCTGCCACCACCCAGCAAAATTGAATTTCTAATTTTTCTGTTTCCATTTTGTTAGTCCTAGGGTTACAGGTTTATGAAACCATGCTCAGAATAGGATTAAAAGCTATTCATTTGCGCGCTTTTGGTTATCTTTTTAAAATCAGTATGACACAGGGCGTTGGTGGCACACGCCTTTAATCCCAGCACTCGGGAGGCAGAGGCAGGTGGATCTCTGAGTTCGAGGCCAGCCTTGTCTACAGAGCGAGTTCCAGGACAGCCTCTAAAACAATACAGAGAAACCCTGTCTCGGAAAAAAAAATTCAGCTAGGTATAATGGCACATACCTTTAATCCCAGCAGAGACAGATCTCTGCGTTCTAGGCCAGCCTAGTGTATAGTTCCAGGACAGCCTGGGCTACACAGAGAAACCTTCTCAAAAAACCAAATGTTTATTTTCCCAGTCTCATTGGCCATGGTCATGCATACTTATACTATGAGCACTCAGGAGACAGAAGTAGAATTGTTTTATGTTCAAGGCCAATCTTCACTACATAGGGATTCCAATCATCTTAGATTATATAGCAAGATCTTGTTTCAAAACACTCTGCCAACATTCAGATTCTATTGATTCTGATTTCTGAATGTTAGGTTTTCCTTTTTTAAAAAAGAAAACACTAATGTGCATTAGTATTTGTCTGCATATATTAGATCTGCTGGAACTCAAGTTACAGACAGTTGTGAGCTGCCATGTGGGTGCTGGGCTTGAACCAGTGTTCTCTGGAAGAACAGCTAGTGCTGTTAACTGCTGAGCCATCTCTCCAACAGGGCTTTTCTTAACTGAAACAGATGTCTGGACGAATTGCTGGTCTTTTAGCCCTCAGGACTTGCCCCTCTCCTCTCCCTCATTTTTTTCCAGACAGGTTTTCTCTGTGTAGCCCTGGCTGCTGGGATTTAAGGCATGGGCCACCTCTGCCGAGCTTCATTTTTTTAATTCTTAATGTTTTTATAGAGGTAGGGTTTCACTCTGTAGCTCAGGCAGCTCCAACTCACAATGTGAATAGCCTGGAACTTGGGGAAGTTCTCCTACCTCTGCCTCCCAAGGGCTGAGATTTACAGGCGTGAGCCACCACACCCTGCTGGGCGAGTCTTACAGAATGTTTAGGTACATTTTCTGTGGTGTTGGGTAGCAAAAACTAGGACCTTGTATGTACTAGGTGAGTGATCTATAACTGAGCTCTACCCCCATACAATTTTAGTTGAACAGTTTTGAATGGTTATTTAAAGGGAGTTGTGTTTTATAATTTAAAGTTTACAGTAATCAGGCATGGTGATTCTCACTTCTAATCCCAGCATGCTGGAGATAGAAGCAGGATTTCTGCAAGTTTTAGGTCGACCTGAGCTGCGTATTGAGATGTTTCTCAAAAAAGCAAGAAAATCTAGTCCGGGGACATGGTTTATTGGATAAAGTGCCTTCCATGTAAGCATAAGGACTAAGAGTTCAAACCTTCAGGACCCACATAAAAGCTGGGCAGGCATAGTAGCCTCTTGTTATCCCTGTACTCTAGAGGCAGAGATAGCCATCCCCAGGGGCAAGCTGGCTACGAAAATCTAGCCAAATCAGTGAGCTCTGGATTCAATTGAGAGACCCTATGAGAGCACTTGAAGAAGTCACGTGTTGTGAACTTTGGGCCTGTCCCGCCACATGTGCCTCTGTACCTACTTGTGCCATGTACATGCAAACATACATGTGCAGCACATGCATCACACCCACACTTACATGCAAAATAAAAGGCAAACTATTAGCTGGATGTGCCGATTAATATCCATAATCTCACCACTTGGGAGACTGAAACAGGAGGATTACTGTGAGTTCAAGGACAGTCTGGGATAAAAAGTGAGACCCTATCTCAAAATCTCACAAAAGTCCCAAACCCAAAAGCTTGTAATTGTGAATATTGGTGGCAGAAGTTTATAGTCTGGAAGCAGCTTGGTCACAGGCCAGTTGATTAATGAGCAGTAGTGAAAGGAGCTGGACCGGATGTGGCTGGATGAATAAGGAATGAATAAGAGGTTTGTGTATCTGGGAGACTGGACACATAACATTGAAGATGGGAGTGGTATCTGAGACCACTTTCAGGAGTCCAGGACGCTGTAGGTGGTGCCCCCTTCAGTGTAGTCAACCAAATGGATGCTCGGGTGGCTGAGCTGGGGTGGAGCTCCTTAGAGGTGAGGATATCAAGGAAGTGGGAAACCCGGGGTATTGGAGGGACTACTTGGTGACCTCCAAGTGGATGGTGACTAAACTTGTTTGGAAAACAAAGCTGGGAGCCATGCATTTCAGTAAATGAGGAAAAGGGACTCTTCAGTGACAGACACAGCAGAATGATAGGGACTCCAGAAAAGCAGCTGGGATTTTATTGTATTTTTTTTCCTTTTTAACAAGAGGGGACATTTGGTTCCAGTCTGACAATGGTGAGTCTGAGGGACATCTCCTGTACATTCTGGTTTTAAGATTAATGTGTCAGAAAGAACGTCCATCTTTTGAAAAAAAATCTTAAAAGTAAAGCTTTGTGGGTGGGAGAGCCTATACTGAGGGCAGGAGGTTGGTCAGTTAGTTGTTCCTGAGGAGAGGCTGAAGGCATCTGAGAGTACTGATCGCCTCTATCCAGGAGTTCCAGAGGATATCAAGGTTAGTTAGATGCCAGGGAAGAGGAGGGAGGGGACACATGAAGCCAGTGACACTGCGTATACCAGGGACATGTGGACGTTGAGAATATGGAAGATGAAAGGAATATTAAGGGGTGTTGGATACTGATATGATTTTAGGCCTAGGTGTTAGTAGATGCAGGCAATTTAAAAAATGTTTTTAGTCATGTAGCTCCAGTTACTGGGTAGACTGAGGCAGGAGGACTGATTAGGCCAGAGTTTCAAACCAGTCTGGATAAAATAGTATGACTCACCTTCCTAAAACAAAAACAGTTTCTCAAAACTGTCTAGTTAGGTAGGTGTTGAGTCAGAAGAACTCTGACCTGCCAGCTATGCCGTGGTAGGTGTTTTCCCTTAGGAACTATAGTAAAGCTGATGACCAGAGGATCCTGAGTGTTGCGGTGCTGACTGTGTCCCTTTCTCCCACTTCTCTTCCCACTCTTCCTTGTCCTCTTTGAAGTAGATGCTTTTCTTTCGCTGTATGCCTGGATCAGTGCTAGGGCTCCGTCACCAAGGAAGTTAGGGAGATGGAAATTGTTGAGTAAAATTACTGAGACCTGGTTCATTCTAGCCATCACATTCCTTTTGTTTCAACTAAGTGTTTTGGAAGTAAAGGAGACTTGAGTTTTATTTTGTTGTTTTCAGATAGAGAAATTGGCTGGGCCTGATGGCTCATGCCTGCATTCCCAGCACTTGGGAGGCTGAAGCAGGAAGATTTCTGCCAGTTCAAGACCAGCCTGGGCTACATTATGAGACTCTGTTCTCATCTCTCCCCTACCAGGGAAATTTTACATTCACATGTGTTGTGGCAACTATATTCTGGTCAAATTTCTACCATCTCGTTATACATTTACTGTTTCTTTTTACACTCCATTTTTTTGGTGTTTGCTAACTTGTCTTTCTCTATTGTGTTAGTGTTACCAAAGTTAAATAATAACTTTTTTGATCCTACCCATTCAGAGCGAAATTTGTAGCACATTTTATGTGTTTGGTTTTTCCAGTGTCCATCTCTCTCTCTCTCTCTCTTTTTTTTTTTTTTGGTTTTTCGAGACAGGGTTTCTCTGTATTGTTTTGGAGGCTGTCCTGGAACTCACTCTGTAGACCAGGCTGGCCTCGAGCTCATAGAGATCTGCCTGCCTCTGCCTCCCGAGTGCTGGGATTAAAGGCGTGCGCCACCAACGCCCGGCTTCCAGTGTCCATCTCTTGATTCTTGGAGTTTGTTGAAATTGATGTCGTAGATCTGAGCTTGTTCCTTAATAAGTTTTAATCGATTTCCTGTTTAACCGTATTTTGTTTATTTTGCAGCCTTTATTCTGATTTAATTTTGGTTTTCATCTTGTACCACTACTCCGCTTTTCCTCTTCTTCCTACCCCACCTTCTCTTGGGTCTTGAACATGTGGAATACATTTTCTACCATAGCCCCTAAGTTTTATTTTTTGACAGTAGATTTGCCAGAAAGGAAATATTTTTACATAAGAGTGATCAGGTAGAGGACTTTGGCTTGGGGCATAGTCAGTCCCTTTCCCCAGGACTTAGTAAACATCCTAATCTAATGCTTTAGCCTTGAAACTTTACATGCCCATATGCAGTCACAAGTAAAAAATTCTATACTGTGAAATTTTGTTACATGCACAGAATTATTGAAAATTAACTTTATCTTTTGTGTTTAAAGTATATGTGAAACATAAATTAATTTCAAAGTTTACTTGGCTCACTTCCCCTAAGAGTAGCCCAGGCAGGTCTTGAACTCACTACGTAGCCAAGGAGTTCTTTGTGTTTCTAGTACTCCTGCCTCCACCTCCAGAGCACTGGTATTACAGATGTGCACCACCATGCTGTTTATTTTTGTGTGATGTTAAAGGACCCAGGGATTTGTGCAAGTGCTGCATCAACTGAGCCACGTCCCTAGCTCTTCCCTCATGATATCTCATTGTTTCTATGTAAGTATTCCAAACTCGAAAAATCAAAATCTGAGACACTTCTGATGGAAAGTGCTTTGGATGAAAGATACTCAACCCGTCAACTGTCCTGCCTTCTCTGTCAACTGCCCTGGCTTCTCTGTCAGCCTTCCTGGCTTCTCTTGTCAACTGTACTGACTTCTCTGTTAACTATTTTGATTTCTCTGTCAACCATACTGACTTCTCTGTCAAGTTTACTGACCCAGGACTATGAGCCTAGGGGTGGCACTACCCATAATGGACTGGGCCCTCCCTATCAATCACTAATTAAGAAAATGCCTTACATCGAGATCTTTGAAGGTTATTTGAAGGTTACTTTCTACTTTTTCCAGTTTTGTCCTCGTATTTTTTTCCTTTGGATTTTTATTCCAGATACGCTCTCTCCCTTGGTCTTCCAGCCTATCCATGTGGTTGTCTCCAATGCCCTTAATGAAGGGTTAATTCTGACTCATTATTTGAGGGGTTGCATTCCATTGTGGCAGGGAAGTCATGGAGGGGAGGCAGTGGTTACATCGCAACCATGATTAGGAAGCAGAGAGAGATGAATGCTGGTGCTCAACTGGCCTCTGCCTTTTCCCCTTTGATTCAGTGTGGAACTCTAGTCCCTGGGATGATACTGCCCACATCTCAGCCTTTCTGCAAACACCCCTAGAGATATTCCCAGAGGTGCCTCACAGGTGTCCTAAGCAGGATATGGGGAGTGGTGAGGAGAGGGAGTAACAAACACTCATTCGGGTTACTCCGTATACATTCATTAGTAATTTATGGAGTTTACTGACTAATTCTCCAAGTATTATGCCTAGTTACTTCCTCCTGGCACTGTCTCTGACGTCTGTTGAATCTAAATAGACATGGCTTCCGAGGCTTCTAAATTTCTTAGTTGACTTGGCCTTCTGATTCAAGAAAGCTTAACAAACATTGGGTAGGTGGGTGATAGCTCTTGTTTCTCCTCTCTTTCTTTTTGCAGAAAACAAAAAACCAGGTAAAGGTTCCAAAGGCTGTAAGAAGGTAAGTGGGCCTTGCCTTCAGGTGAGGTATGTGCATTATTGGGGTTAGGTCAAAAGTTATTGGGTGATTCTGGCAAAGCACCTCACTGGGATGAACACACCCAATGAGGTGCTTTTTTCCCACACCTCATGACTGCAGCAGTTGCCTGCATACATGAAGTTCCTTCCAAAAGTTAAGTACTGCTTTGTGCTCAGGTTACTTGTTAGGGATTGTCATCCCTGTGTATTTTTGGTATGAAATTCAGGTCCTTGAGCATACCAGGCTCTACCACTGAGCCACACATCCTCAGCCCCCAAATTTGTATTGGTTTTTATTTTTTATTTTTTGTTTTACGAGACAGGGTCTCTCTGTATTGTTTTGGAGGCTGTCGGTCCAGCCTGGCCTCGAACTCACAGTGATCCGCCTGCCTCTGCCTCCCGAGTGCTGGGATTAAAGGCGTGAGCCACCAGTGCCTGGCTCCAAATTTGTATTTTTGACAAGTTCTCAGGTCTTGGTGCTATGGGTCCTAAGACCTCACTTTGGATGATATTTGTCAGGAAAGGGTTCCCTTTGGCCTTGGGAATCCATCCTGGCTACCCCTGTCCACACTACTTTCCTGTCAGGCCCTCCCTGGCTAGTGGAGAAGGGTCTTGCCCTTGCTAGACAAACAGATTTCTGGGCAGAACCCTCACCCAGACTATATTCCCCTGCATCTCTGAATGTGAGGTATTTTCTATGGATTTGTTGACTGTGCTTCCTTTTTCTCTTCTTGCTGGGTAACCAGCCTACAAGGCAGAATGGGAAGAAAGTAGCATCCAGACCATCGTCTGCTCCCCAGTTTGTTCACGGCAATGATCATGCCAGTCGGGAGGCTGAATTAAAGAAGAAAAGGGTGAGCCTTTTGCCTTTGGGGAGTGATGGCCTGGTTTGCATGTCTGATGTGCGTAAGTAAGTGTTGGGCTTCCTGATGCTCTTTGTGGTTGGGGGAGCGAGGCAGGATGCATCAATCCTGGTTTAAGTTTTCTATCTGCTCACCTTCTGCCCGCTCAGTTCTTTGCTGTCTTCTGCCTAATGTTCCCAGTGCTCCACTAAAACTCTGCTGCTGGCCTCTCCTCTGCACCCCAGTGTCACATGTGTGACCATACTTCCTTAAAGCACTCCCATTTTGGCTTTGTCACCTCCCATTCTTGGATGTCTCCCTCCTCTGTGACTAGACCTTTGCAGTTTCTTGTTGCTTCCCCCCCCCGTTTTGTTGCTTGCTTGAGGCAGGTCTTGCTTTGTTGCCCAGGCTGGTCTTGAATGCTTGGGCTTATGAAATTCTTCCTCCTTAATGCCTGAGTAGCTGGGCTGCAGGTGTGCGCCCGTGTGGCATTCACTTCTGCTCGGTACATCCTATGACCTTGTCCTCATTTAGGCTTAAGTATTCACCTTTTGGGATGCTTCTCCCTCTGCTTCCCAGGTATCTTTTTTATTTTTCTTTATTTATTCTTTGCAATTTTTAGTAATTTAAAAAGCATAATTGTTTTCTTTTGTTATTTGTGGTGGTGGGGGAGGGGCTCAAGTGCAGGCCTGCCCCCTCCCACCACCACGGTGGATATGTAGAGGTCAGAGGACAACTTTTTGGCAATCAGGTCTCTCCTTCCACCATAGATTCCAGGGGTTGGACTCACTTTTTTAGACTTGTACGGCAAGCCTTTTTACCCATGGAGCCACCATGCTAGTCCCCCTTTTTTATTTATTGAGACTGACTTGATTGATACGGGGTCCGGCTATCTAGCTCTGGCTGACCTGGTGGCCTAGAGTTCACTGTGTGGTCCCGGCTGGCCTTGACCTGATGGCAATTCTCCTGCCTCCACCTGTCAAGTTGCTGGATTTACAATTGTGTGCCACTATACCCAGCTTTTCTTTCGGTTTTTCTCTGCCACGTTCCTTCCTTCCCTTAGCTTCTTTATCTGTCTTTTTCTTCTCAAGTATCTTGTTCCCCAACTGTCCTTTTCCTGTATCCCCACTCCTTCACTCCTGCGGACAGCAGACCTCCTCAGCTCCAGTCACAGTGTGTGTTTGCTTGTTAGGTTGAGGAGATGAGGGAGAAGCAGCAGGTTGCCCGGGAGCAAGAGAGACAAAGACACAGGACCATTGAGAGCTATTGTCAGGATGTCCTGAAACGCCAGGAGGAGTTTGAACACAAGGTAAGAGAGAAGCCCTTGCTGCTGGGTGGTATTGGAGTGGCTTGCTGTTTTGTTGTAAGGGAAGAAATGGTTATAGTGAGACCTTGTCTCAAGGAAAGAAAGAGAGGAAAAGAAAGAGATAGTATAAGGTCAACAGAGGAAAGGGATGAGTACAGGGAAGGAAAACAATTGGGAGAGATAGGTAAAGTTAGGGAGAAAGGGGGGCTGTTTTGCAGCATGCCCGTGACCGCATGTCTTTGGCGAATGCCTGTCCCAAGCTTGAGTCTAAACATGGAGTGGCAGTGGGACTAGGGACGGGGACAGGTATGACTGGGGATTGTGGCAGGAGGGAGCCTATGAAGGGAAGACCAAGAGACAGGGGGGGATGCAGAGCATCTCACCTTCCTTGTGGATGTCATTTTCCCTTTGTGGCATTTGTTGTCTCAGAAACACTGTGCACTTGAGCTCCGATGCCCTTGCTGACTTCCAGTAAGGGCTTTGTTTCCTGGTCCCATTTGCCTCGGAGATGATTTGTTTCACAACTTCCTCTTTTAGCCTGCTTTTCACACACACTTGTGACCAAGCAGGCCTTTGACTGGTGCTCAAATGCACACACACACATAGGAATACACACAGATTCCATGCATCTGTCTACTATTGTTTAGTTTTCCAGCATTTTTGGTTGTCGGAAGTGCTACTTTAAAGAAAATTAAAGTTTATTCATTATTACAGTGTGTGTGTGTGTGTGTGTGTGTGACTGAGAGAGAGAGAGAGAGAGAGAGAGAGAGAGAGAGAGAGAGAGAGAGAGAGAGAGAGAGAGAGAGAGAGAGAGAGAGAGAGAGAGAGAGAATGTATGTAGGTCACTGAACACCTTTATGGAGTCAGTTGGCCCATTCAATACTACTTTTAGATAGTCTGGGACTCACATGTATTCTCCAGTTTCCTGTGGTTTTCTTTTTTTCTGAGACAGGGTTTCTCTGTCCTGGAACTGGCTCTGTAAACCAGGCTGGCCTCGAACTCCCAAGTGCTGGGATTAAAAGTGTGTGCCACCAACGCCCGGCTCTTCCTGTGGTTTTCAAAAGCCTTGTTGGTGCTGGTGTATCTTCCCTCCTTCCTTATCTCCTCTTCTTTCTTTTCCTTCCCTTTTTGCATCTGCTTGCCCCTTTCCCCCCTAAACTATTACTCTTGTTTTTTTCTCCTCCTTTAGGAGGAAGTTTTGCAGGAATTGAATATGTTTCCTCAGTTGGATGATGAGGCCACACGGAAGGCCTATTACAAGGAGTTCCGTAAGGTAGGAGGATTCATTTCTTCCTTTATCTTTGTTTTTAGAAAAGGTCTAGTCTAGGCTAACCTAGAATTAACTGTGTATCCCAAGCCAGCCTTGAACTACTTGCAGTCCCCTTGTCTCATCTTCATAACTGTTGGGATTATAGACTTGAGATACGTAACAGGTATCCATTTCTTAAAGCCCTTTGGTGAAGACCCCAGTGTATTTTCATTTCTTCATTTCTGTTTATTGCTGACTGAAACAGACTACTATCCAGCCTGTTCTCAGCATTCTTCCTTTGTATTTTCTGTTCTACAGGTGGTAGAGTACTCTGATGTGATTCTAGAAGTCCTGGATGCTAGAGACCCATTGGGCTGCCGCTGTTTCCAGATGGAGGAGACTGTCCTTCGGGCAGAAGGCAACAAGAAGCTGGTCTTGGTCTTGAATAAGATTGGTAGGTTTTGGAAGGATTGGGTAAGGCAGGGAACAGGTTAAGCTTAGACTAGCTCAGATTACGCACTGAGACCTATCAACGGCACTCATAATAGCCATTGATAGGAATTCTTGTTCAAATTCCCAAAACCAGAAATATTGTCTGGTATACACACAGAAACATGCAGAATGTAGCATGGTTCGGGGTAGAGTATGAGCCTTTTTGCCTTTCAGCTCACTTTCCTTGCAATTTTGAGCCAGTTGTATGGCTGGTCATTCTTGGAGACCTCTCCCCACAAATTGGAACACAAAGATTTGGACAAGAGAGAGCACAAGACTGAGGTGTTAGTCTTATTGTACTTTGGTATTTTCTTCTTGATATCAGATAGGTCATGTTGCTCATGACAACTTCTATTTCTCCAACAGTAAATAGGGGCATGACCATCTCAGTCTCCCAACTTTACTGTGAGAATTAATGAAGAGCTTGGTACAAATCAGCTCTTGACAGATTGTAGCTATTCTTGGTGATGTTGTTTCTTGACACTTAGTCCAGCCTAGAATGATTAGGAAAGGGAATAAGGTATTTGGGCACGTTGACATGGAAGGGGGGGATGTCTGGGGCAAAACTACTTCTTTACATATTTTCTTCAATAGGGTAAGCCTTCTCAGAGAGGGCCAACTGGTCCTGTGGATCAGATTGTTCTCTGTAACTCTATCCTGGGGACCATGCAGGGACAGTTAGGGCAAGAGGAGAGATCTGTTAGTAGGAGGTAGGCCTAGACATGGGTGTGTGGCTTAGGGGAAGCTACAGAAGTAATGTTCGTACAAGTCCCATCTGTTTCTGTTTTTCCAGACCTGGTTCCCAAGGAGATTGTGGAAAAGTGGCTAGATTACCTTCGCAATGAGCTGCCAACTGTGGCTTTCAAGGCCAGCACCCAGCATCAGGTCAAAAACTTGGTAAGCCTGGAGTAGGAGTATCTAGCCTCTTTCATTGAAGTTTGGGGTCAAGGTTGCAAGTGTTACAATTGGATTGGGCTTTTCACTTTGAGGTGTTTTCTCTAGTGGGTAACTTGTTGTTTTTTATTTTCCTTTACTTCTTCCTATGTTATTGCTTTTCAGAAAGCATGCTTTTTCTGGCTGTGAGGATACAATAATATATATTGTCTATAGGCGATCTGGGAAATAGAGTTAACTACTTGTTAGTTCTTTAAAATACTGTTCATTTCCCCCTCTTTAAAACAAGGCATGGGAGCTTAGTGGTTAAGAGCATCTGCTTCCAGAGGACCCAGGTTCAGTACACAGCATCTACATGGTGGCTCACAGCCATCTGTAACTCCAGTTCCTCTGACCTCTCCAGATATGGTACACAGACATACATACAAACAAAACACTTATACACATAAAATAAATGAAGCTTTTTTGTGTTTTTTTTTCAAGACAGGTATATAACTGTCCTGGAATTCACTCTGTAGACCAGGCTGGCCTCAAACTCAGAGATCCTCTTGCCTTCGTATGCTGAGTGCTGGTATTAAATGCATGTGCCACCACCACGACTTTAGTAAATAAATAAATGTTTAAAAAGAAACCCAAAGAAGGCATAATACTTCCTATTGATATCAATATAGAATACCTATAAAATACTGAAGTATGGCAGTAACGTTAGTTGTTTTGGGGGAGGTAAATTGGTTATTGGGGATAGGTTTTTTCAGTTTTGCACTATTCTTTTTTACAGTGCTGAGAATGGAACCCAGAGCATCTTGCCTATGTAGACACTACTTCTGAGTCCCTATTTTCCAGTTTTTATTATTTAAGCAGTGTTTATGTTAATCTACTTACACTTATCTCCTTGGCATGTAGACAAATGTTGTGGGCTAAGTACTGAGCAATTGTGTGCCTGGGTCATACATAAGCCTTATGCTTTCGATATTTTCTTAGACACAGACTAATTATCCTTTATAATAGCTATGACAAGTAATCCTCCTCCCACTTGGATAACTGGATGTGTGAAGGGGACCTCTTTCCCTACACTCTTGCCAACATACTATGTTTTACTTAAAATTTTGTGGCTCCCCCCACATCAAAAATAAAAGTAGGAAGGTTGGGATGGCCTTGTCCTGCATGAGCAATCAGCTTTGGGCCAGGTACCCTCTGCACAGGTGGAGAGGTCAGGCTTCCCTTTCATGCACATGAGACACTGAGACCCTGGAAAGGGAGATAGGCTTTTCTTCATAGTCCTGTGAGTGAGAGAGCTAGAAATGAAACTCAGCTTGCCTCTCGCTGGGTTGTCTTCATGTTTCTGCTGTGGGAGGCAGGAGAAGGAACAGAGAAAATTATAGACATAAAAGCACAACAACTTAATCCCGGTACTTGGGAAGCAGAAGCAGGAGGATCTCTGTGAGTTTGAGGCCAGCCTGGTCTACAGAGTGAGTTCCAGGACATCCAGGGCTATTACACAGAGAAACCCTGTCTCAAAAACCAAACAAAAAAAGCCACAACAATTGGAAACAAGGCAGAACTGGGATGTAGTTACTGTGAGAAGCCTATGAGATCAGTAAACTCAGGGCGGTTCTGAATATTCCACTGTGGGTTGGAAATTTGACCTTACAATCTCTCCCATTTTGTAATACACCTCATTTTCAGACTCGGTGTAAAGTGTCGGTGGACCAGGCTTCTCAGACTCTGTTGCAAAAAAGCAAAGCTTGCTTTGGAGCTGAAAACCTCATGAGGGTCCTGGGGAACTATTGCCGCCTAGGGGAAGTGCGTACCCACATTCGTGTGGGTGTTGTAGGTAAGGCCGTGCAAAAAAGCATAGGGCAGGAAGGATCCTTTCTTGGGTAGGGAAGGAAGGGGTTTGGAATTTTGTTTTGTTTTGAGGGGAAGATAGGACTTCAGGAGTGGTTCTGCAATTTGCAGTTTGGCTAGTGGGCATGGGAAGGCATGTTCAGATTCACCACCATTAAAACCAAATGTGATGCCAAACACTAGAGGCTGTCAGAGCTATGGGAAGGAAGTGTGGTTCACCCACCTCTTACAGATGACAACCCCGAGAGCCACAAAAGGAAACAAAGCGGGGCTGAGGTGGGTCTTTCTGAAGCCCAGAGTGCTGTAGAAGGGGATGAAAGGGGGAGAGGGAAATTGAGAGGCAGGTAAAGATCACCAAGAAGGGAAAGTGTCTCAGCCTGACATACTGAAGAGAACTAGACAGAGAGTGTGTAGCTATACTGCACATACTTGAATAGACAGCAAGACATAAACCAGGGAGGCCAGACTACAACGTTTATGGGTAATGAGAAAGACAAATTTAAGTGACTGTCATAAGAGAGTGAAGGATCTGTGACCGCAAAGAAATAAAGGGACATTAAAAATAATTACGTGACCAGACCTGGTGACCCAGACTTGTAATGCTAGCTGCTTTCAAAGTGGGAAAGTTTGAGTTCAAGGCCAGCCTTACTTAGGTAACTTAGTGAGACCTTGATTCATAAAAAAATAAAAGAAGCTTAGAGTGTTGCTCAGTGGTGGAAGGCTTTCCTAGTATATGTGAGACCCTGGGTTCAGTCCCCGGTGTTAAAAATAACAGGAAACAGGTACAGTGTGTACAGGGGCATGTAGAAGGGATGATAAAGAACAGACATTTGGGATGTGTACTTGTGTAGATATGGGTATCCAAAAAAGAACATTAGAGGAATGTAGACACAGAGGAACATAGGCCTGCACACACAGATCCTCAGGAACGTGTAAATTCCTATGCATGGAGTCACGTACAAGCCTGGAAGGGACACATCTACAGGCAGACAGGCTCGGGCAAAATGTGCAGACTGAGCTCTTCCACACCCATGCTATCTCTTTCCCCAGAGCAAATAAAGCCACAGGAACATAGGATACACTGTAACCTAAAATCCTGGGGAAACAAGCAGACATGCCTGTGATGAGACAAAATGTTTGTATAGAGAATTAAAGACACAGTTATGGAGGCACACAAAGAAAAACCAAGGCCACAGTGAAACATGAATGGGCACATTTCTGTAGACAAATTGCAGAGAGAAGGAACATAGTAACCATGTTGTCAGAAGTGGAATTGGTGGGGTGGAGAAAATCGGAAATGATAGCGTCCAGAATGAGAAAGAGCTTTGTAGATGCATGGACATAGCGCTGTGAGAGCAATTCAGTGAGATCCAGTGAAAGGGAAAAGCAGTTACATTTGAAATAAAAATGACCCAGAGTCACACGGGTGTATAGACTTCCAGCTGAGTACCACAGAGCTTCCCAGGCACACACGTGAGAGCAGTACTCACCAGTTAAACTTTAGTGCACATAGAGGATGGTAAAAATGACATCCAGGGAGAGAGAAGCTCACAAAGACAGCCCCAGGCTGAGAGTGGTGCACAGGTGCTCACATACAGAGACTCCATAGGCACAGACAGCTGGGGAGAGAGGGGCATCTGGAGAGTAGTCCCTTCTCCCCGGGGGCATTCCATGTCAGAACAGGTCCATTCCACCCTTGACCCCTGTGAGGCCTTAAATGGAGCTGCTCTCCAGGCTGGTTGTGGTGGGAGGACTGCATATTTGGAGAGGGCCCTGTATGCTGAGAACGATGACAAAAGGAGGAGAGACCTAGAAAGACTCTGCAGAGGCCTGGCTGGGGCCTGGGGTGGGCAGCCAGGAGGCCAGGCTCTACCTTTGGTTTGTCCGTGACATGGTTACTGCCTCTGCCTGGCCCTTTCTTAATCAGGGTGTCCTGGATTCCTGTGAGCACTTGCGTGAGTATTGTGCCCCTCTTTGCAGGCCTTCCCAATGTGGGGAAGAGCAGTCTGATCAACAGCCTGAAGCGCAGCCGTGCGTGTAGTGTGGGAGCTGTTCCTGGTATCACAAAGTAAGAGCTGCCCTCTTCCCTGCTTCACACACCCTTGACATTACCATTCCATCAAAGCTCCCGTGCCTTCAGCCCCTGCCCTTTGCTAACTGTGGACCATCCTCTCATTCATGCCCTGGGTTTAGGAATTCTACTAATAGCGCACATTTACCTGGCCCCTCCCAGATGTGGGCTGTTGGGTCCTTCATAACAACTACAAATAGCTCTGTCCCATAGATGAAGCAACTGATACCCAGAGAGTCAGAAACTTGCGTGAGATCCTGTAGCTAAGACCCCAGTGAAAGAGACTGGGTTTACAGCACCTCAGGTCCCCCACCCCCGTCCTACATCTTTCCACTTCACCTAAGATACACCTTTCCCTCTGTTCTTTTACCTCCTTCCAACCTCTCCAGACCCAACATTTGTGACTAGATATCAGGTGCAGCTGGGCCTTGTTTTCCTCTCTCCAGATTCATGCAGGAGGTTTACTTAGACAAGTTCATCAGACTGCTGGATGCTCCAGGCATTGTCCCAGGACCCAATTCAGAGGTGGGCACCATCCTGCGTAATTGCATCCATGTGCAGAAGCTGGCAGACCCTGTGACCCCGGTGGAGACCATCCTTCAGCGCTGCAACCTGGAGGAGGTATAGAGCAGAGTCCGCAGTGGATGCCCTGTTCCATTACTACAAAAGTCCTTCATTGTTCTCATGACTTTTCTCCTTCATTTTGTTAGGTTTCCAACTATTATGGTGTCTCTGGATTCCAGACTACCGAGGGCTTTTTGACTGCAGTGGCCCGCCGTTTGGGAAAGAAGAAGAAGGGAGGTGCATATAGTCGAGAGCAGGCTGCCAAAGCTGTCCTGGCTGACTGGGTGAGGTGAGGAAGGAGTTGAGTAAGAGGAAGTGTTCATTGAATACAGCGGGACAGCCTGACTTCCTGAGTCCCAACGTAGGGGACAGCTGAAGAACTAGTCATGTCTTTCTCAGTACTCTATACCTAGTGGTTATTGAGAAGTTGAACACGTTGTTCGGAAAGCCATTGTCTGGATTTTCTTGTCCTACATCCTCCTTTGATAGGTTATTCTCAGTGACATCACCACTGACCTCCCTTTTTCTCCCAATTCAGTGGGAAGATCAGCTTCTATATACCACCACCACCTACTCACACTCTACCCACGCATCTCAGTGCTGAGATTGTTAAGGAGATGACTGAGGTCTTTGATATTGAAGATACTGAACAGGCCAACGAAGACACCATGGAATGTAAGCGTGGATGGGTGGGGCAACTGGTTTTGTTCTAATAGAGTCCAGACCTGATGTCAGATCACACATTTGAGCCCTCCTTTATGGGGCCTACTTGGGGATTGGTAATACATTTTATTCGATGTCCTGCAAGGTAGAGAATTCTGGTTTGGGCCATGAGAAGGTAGTGGTGGTGAACATTTGGTAGATTGCCAGACTAGCTGGTACTCCTTTAGGTTCTTTGGAAATGAGACTCCATTTCTTTCTTTTGGATTTAAGTATTTCTTTAAAAAGCACTTTGTGTGGTGTGTGTCTGTGTGTGTGGGGGTGTTTTTGAGACAGGGTCTTACTATGTATCCCTTGGCTAGCCTGTAACTCATTATGTATACCAGGCTGGCCATGAACCTGGAGATCTGACCATTTCTACCTCCTTCATGATTGCTAGATTAAAGGCTCAGAAATTCTTTCTTGGTTCTGTATGTTTCCATAATCCCAACCAAATCAAAGGACCATGGTCCTTCTCCCTATCCCCCTTCTTCCTGTTGCCGTAGGCTTTTTTAGGTAGGATTTTACTATATAGCCTTGACTGATGCGGTGCTCACTGTATAGCCTAGGCTGGCTTTGAACTTTAGGTAATTCTGTCCCATCAGTTTCCTGAGTACTGATATATTCCACTATACCTGACTGCCCTAGGATCTTCTCAGCATTCTTAGATTTTCTTATCTCTATTGACTGGTGAGATATCTGAGTTAAACATTGTATTTGCTGGGTGTGGTAGAACATGCCTTTAAGTGAGTTCCAAGGACACATAGACAATGGTAGGCAACACTGGCTTTGGCGATAGCTTTCCTGTTCTGTTGTCTTAAATCCCTTAGGGTAGGGAGGTGGTTAGAAGTATGGCTGTCAATTTGAATGTAGTTTTGTTCATCATTAGCTGTATGATACTGAACAGGGCTGTTCATTTCACTTTGTGTCAGTGAAATAAGAACAGTAGCACCCACACCATTAGGATATTGAGTAAATTTACTTAATTTGTAAAAGAGGACCAAGGGTATAGGTCAGTGGTACAGCTCATGCTTAGCATTCATAAGACCCTGGTTTGCCCCTCAGCACCCAAAAAGAAGTAAAAGGTATAGAGCAGTAGAGCCTGGTGTATAGTAAATCATGCTCTGTAGATAGATCCTCTCTGGGGTATATGGAGGTGTGACTTTCTGTAGAGCCTGGTGTATAGTAAATCATGCTCTGTAGATAGATACTCTCTGGGGTATACTGAGGTGGTGTGACTTTCTGTAGAGCCTGGTGTATAGTAAATCATGCTTGGTAGATCCTCTCTGGGGTATATGGAGGTGTGACTTTCCAAACTGGTGAGTAGGTTTCTGCTCTTAGACACTATTTGCAGCCCTGACCTGTGGTTCCTACTTCTTCCTGTACTCTGCCCAGGGCTCTCTGGCCGTATTCTTGGGAACCGTTGAGAAAGCTCTGTTTGCCCTAAAGTCTTGTTTCTGTTTCTCTTGAAGGCCAGTCACTTCCTTCTCTGGGTCCTCTAAAGTCCTCGATTACAAATGAGGACAAGAAGACTTGCCTACTTTCTAGTTTATTCCATGTATATGGCTTCTAGCAAGTCAGCCCTCTTGCTGAACTTTAATTTCTGATTCTGTCAAGTGGGCAGTTGAGAGGAATTTGAACTCATATTCTAATGAAGAGGCTTGACCCTGGCTGGATTTGTAAAGGCAAGAAGAGTGTCATCACTGTAGGGGGTTGAGATGAGGGTGGGGAAGAGGTTAGGGCTAAAAAGCATTGGGAGGACACGGCGTTGGTAGCACACGCCTTTAATCCCAGCACTTGGGAGGCAGAGGCAGGAGGATCTCTGATTTCGAGTCCAGTCTACAGAGAGTTCCAAGACAACCTCCAAACTCTGAAACTCTGTCCTGAAAAACCAAACCAAACCAAACCAAAAACACCTGGAAGAGTTGGTCCTAGTGTTGGGCCTTGAAGAGTGAGTAGGGATTAGGGCATTCAGGAAAGTAGGTGGGGTAAATCGGTAGAAGCCATAAGAAGGTAGTGTGACAAAAGCCTCAGGCATGTATGAGGGTTTTGGTGGGGGTCAGTTCCAGGCAGGGGACAGGCTGGGGGGAGGGGAAGGGGAAGAGAGAGACCTGTTCCTAGGAAGGGAATCTTCATGGCTCCTCTTCACGTTTGAGCCAGAGTATAGTAGGTGCCCTCTGATGGATTTTACCTTAACCCTACGAATAAGAGTTGTGAAATTCCATTTTCTCACCTGGGGGAGCTGAAGCTTTAAGGTTAACTCCCAGCAGGCGATTGTCCTATAATATTCATGCTTTTGTTTTGTTTTTATTTTGAGACAAGGTCTCGATATATAGCCCAGGCTGGCCTTGAACTCCTGATCCTCCTGTTTTACCCTCCCAAGTGATGGGAATACAGGCATGCCCCACCTAGATTAGTATTCCTGCTTTTAAAATCTTTGCTATGTAGCCTCTCAGCAGAAAAGACCTTACTCCCCACCCCGCTCACGTCCTTTCTGCTGAGGCCTGATCAGAGGGCTGGCAGCAAGTGCAAGCCAGGATCCTAACAGTGGTGTCTGTGTTAAAGGCTTGGCCTTGGGAGAATCTGATGAGCTGTTGGATGACATGGACCCACAAGAAATGGACGTCAAGTGGCTCCACTCTCCGCTGGTGAAAATAGCAGATGCCATTGAAAATAAAACCACCGTATATAAGGTACCTCTCCACATCCTCATTCAGCGTCTCCTGCACAGGGTTCTGGGAAGCTGTTGCTTCCTTCTACATACCTCTCCTAGGGTAGTGGCTCACACACTTCCCGTGGACTTGTGGATGCTTGGCTTGGTGTGTGCTTTGCCAGATAGTGACATGTCTAAGGAGCTCTTTCAAGCAGCAGCTTTCCCACACACTGTTAGTCGCCAAATCCCTTAGATATTCCTCATTTCTTGAGACCTGGTCAAAATTTCTCATCTCTGTGATTCCTGTAATCCTAGAGTGTACTTCTAGTCCTCAACTTACCTGGATATACTTACTTCATGGTTTCTTTTATTGCTGTTTGTGACGGGCTTTCATGTAGCTAAGGCTGGCTTTGAACACCTGATCCTCCTGCCATCCAATTGTCCAATGCTGAGATTATAGGCATGTATCATCATGCCTGGCTATTCTGTGGTTCCTAATAGTCTAGTCTGACCCCATCACTTTCTCTGCTAAAACACTTTTCCATGGCTTGCTATACAAGATCATCACTGCATCATATGACTCTGGGTGTCTCCCCAGGTTCTTTTTTTCCAGTCAACCCATCTCTGTTCTTCCAGAGTTTTCATTTCAAACACATAGGAGGAGTGATTGGGGCAGGTGATAATAAGACAACAGCCTGTATCTAAGGACCCTAAACCATACTACTAGTTAGTTGGCCAAGGAACCGTTAAGCTGCATCTTAAAGGCCGAATTTTCTGGGCAAAGGCATATATGCTAGACAAGCCCTTTTCCAGTGAGCTACATCCAGTAACTATTTTCATTAAAATAGAGGATGCTTTTCCTATTGTTCTGTGCTTGCTTCACTTACAAATTTGTTTAGGGATTGTGTCACAGGATTACTTTAAGAGCTGCCCTTTATTTATCTTGGTGATGAATATCTGGAAGGATTTATTAACCAAAATATCTTGTCATGCTAATGAGAATAGTCATTCAGAAAGAAAGGTATTCAGGTTAGCCAGGGAGGAAAGTCCACTTTAATCAATATGTAGTAGAAGGTATGGTCTGAACTTGTGCAATGGCAGGAATCACACTGTCCCCATCTTCACATAGTACTAGAAGTTTCCCATTACCTGAAGAAAAAAAAATCTATGAACTTGTCTTTTTAAGGCTACCTTCCCAAGGAATATTTTCCACTGAGCCATAAGCCCCTGGACATAGTACATTCTTAGAAACTCACAGTAGTCCCCCATTTTTGTGCTACAAGTTCCAGACTCAATCCAGAGCTCTCAACAAGCCACCTTGTTACACAACTCCCAAGAAATACTGTACAGGCATACAGTGTAGTGAATGGATGGCATCTCAGTCACTAACCTTAGTAGCTTTTCTTAAACTCACTCTGTCTTAACCTTTTCCCTAGTATAAGGTAGGGAAATTAATTTAAGGGAATAAATGTACTTCCTGTTCATTCTTACAGGAATTCAATTAGTTAATGCACACAAAAGGATTTAAGAAAGTCACATAGTGCTGCTTAACAGTGAGAGGCTATGTTCTAAGGAGTACAGTATTTTAGGGTTGTTCAGACAGTCTTATGGAGCCTAGTTACCTTTAAACTCAATGTCACTGAGATTGGCTTTGAACTCCTGTTCTCCCTACCTCTACTGCCTGAGTGCTGAGATTATGAGTATGCTACCATGCTTACCTTGATAGGATCTTCAGTGTGCAAATATCCTAGAGTGTACTTACATAAACGAAGATGTTTATGGCAGGCCACCATCACATATGTGGCCCATTGTTGCCTGAATCATGTTTGTTATGAGTACATATTTCCTTAGGCAGGTGCGTATGTTAGATTAGTCCATGGTACATATACTTAGTAAATGCGCTGTTAATAATTTGCTTTTACTGCTCACGTGTACCTGCCACATAGATACCCTGCCCCATGCGTAGACATCATGCTCTGAGGTAGGTTTAGCCTGATTACTTACTGAAGGTGGAACCAAGTCTGATTCATTTCTTTGTTCCCAGGATTGCCCCACATAGCTGGGCATGAAGTAGGTGTTAAAAATGCTAGCTGTAGCGGGGTCATGGTAGCACATGTCTTTAATCCCAGCATGCGGGAGGCAAAGGCAGGCAGATCTGTGTCAGTTCAAGGCCACCCTGGTCTACACAGTGAGTTCCAGGACAGCCAGAGCTATGCAGAGAAAGTCTGTCTTGGAAAAAGTGCTAGCTGAGTAAGGCCATGAAGGGTTATTTCAACAAGGGATCATTATAATATGAATTGTCTAATGAAGTAACTACTTTTTTGTTTTGTGAGACTGAATTTTACTTTGTGACCCAGCTAACCTACAACTCAAGCATGTAGTCCAGACTGACCTTATGCTTATAGGAATCCTGCCTCAGCCTCTTGACTGCTACTGCTGCTTCCTTTCTTTGTTCAAATTATTCTTTTTTTGGAGGGGGGGTTTCCAGACAGGGGTTCTCTGTATTGTTTTGGAGGCTGTCCTGGAACTCGCTCTGTAGACCAGGCTGACCTCAAACTCACAGAGATACGCCTACCTCTGCCTCCCGAGTGCTGGGATTAAAGGTGTGCACCACCAATGCCCGGCTTTCAAATTATTCTTGTAAAAACCTTGCAAACTCTCCAGTGCTCGTCCCTGTTTGACAGATGCACAGTTGAGTTTCATAGGCTAACTAAGCACCACTTAGGATATGGTGGGGCCATCCCTAACTGGCTGCAGATTCCTTCTAACTCAAGCCTATTCTTGGTTTCACTGTAGGAGTGTTTAGAGATCAAGACCCCATCATTATTCTTTTTCTCCCCAGATTGGAAACCACACTGGGTATTGTACCAATCCAAACCGTCAACAGATGGGTTGGGCTAAACGCAATGTGGACCACCATTGCCCCCAAAACAATCGCATAGTGGATGCCAGTTCAGTGGACCGCCGCCCAATGTTGCAGAGGATCCTGGAGACAGACCCACTTCAACAAGGCCAGGCTTTGGCATCTGCCTTTAAAAATAAGAAAAAATCACAGAAGCGTTCAGGTAAGGGTACCTGAACATTCCTGTGCTCTGAAAATGCCTGGCTGGGGCCAGGATTCGAGTCTTCTTGGATATGCATCTCCACATGTTTTTGCCTTCATGGAATACTTGGAGGGATGGGGTTAGGAAACTCACAGACTGGCAAGTGGATCTCAAAATTCTAGCTTGCAGGTGGGTGGTGGTGGTTTACACCTTTAATTCCAGCACTTGGGAGGCAGGGACAGGGAAATCTCTGACTTTGAGGCCAGCCTGGTTTACAAAGTGGGTTCCAGGACGAGCTCCAAAGCTATAGAGAAACCCTATCTCAAAAAAAAAGTAATCTAACTTGCAATGATGTCATCTGGAGGGTTTATTAAAGCAGATTTCTGCTGTTCACACTCTTAGGACCACTGACATTGCCGTGTGTCATGTCCCACATTTCTTGGGTGTTTTCTGGGTGTTAGGTAGAATGCGTATTATCATTTGTAGGAAGTGCATCCGAAACCCCAGAGGATGCAAGGCTGACTTCGAACTCACAGAGATCCATCTGCCTCTGCCTCCTGAGTGCTGGGATCAAAGGCGTGCAGCATCACCGCCTGGGTAATTTCTTGCCCTTAAGAGAGATGTATGCAGAAGTCTTCCATTCTGTGTTTTCTTTTCCACACCGATGCTTGTTCACTGAGCATACAATTTTTGGTTCACAGTTTCTCCATTCTATGTCTTAGGAATATCTCCACATCAGGGCACAAAAGAATTTCTTCTTTATTCTCTTTGTATAAATGGTGATCCTTTGTGCACCTGACTCAGGTTTCCAGGATATATATATTATCTGTATTTGCCATCTGTAGTAGCCCTGCTACAGATAGTGGCTTGTGCCACTATGCCTGGCTAAATAAAATTTTAAAGTTAAAATAGGTGCAGGCTATGTTTCTTGTCACTGTTTCTTGAGCAACACAGTATAGCAGCCATTTCGTATTATTTGTATTGGATTGGATAGAAGAAATCTCTACATACAGGGGAATGTGTGCAGGTTATGTGAAGATACTACATCATTTTTAGTAAAGCTGAGGGTTTGTTATCCCCTGTGGATACTGAGCAGTGACAAAACAGTTTTTCAGTGAATTAATAAAGGTAAGTATGCTCACTCATTGGTATCTGTGGTATCCAGACAGTGGTGGTGCACACCTTTAATCCCAGCACTTGAAAGACAGTGAGTTCGAGACCAGCCTGGTCTACAGAGTGAGTTCCAAGACAGTCAGAGCTGTTACACATAGAAACCCTGTCTCAAAGCAAAACAAAAATAAACAAAACAAAAAACAAAATAGAAATGTAAGTAAGGTTGATTGACTTTGTGATGTCTTTTCTTTGTAACTTGAACATATTTTATGACTGTCTTATTTTGGCTCTACACTGAGTCCTGGGAATCCACGGATGGATTGCCCTTGAATTCCAAGTCTTGTTAGGGAGTAGAGGGGAGACAAAACAGACACTGACAGTGTCTCATGATCACTCTGAGGGCACATACAGCAAGCATTGTGAGGGAGCTTAGCTCAGCTTGGAGAGGGCAATCAGCAGAGGCTTCCTAGAGAAGTCTCAGAACCCTGAGGAACAAGTGTATCTGGAGGACGAGAGCTGCGAGTGCTGAGCATTCAGGCTCAAAGCCAATACTACTGTGCGCTCCTTGCTGTGGATGCTTGTTTGGGGGCTGCTGGGGGTAATGGAGGAGTGCTAAGTTCACACAGTAGAAGGAAGTTACTGTTTTGGTACTTAGACACAAAAATTCTTAGAATCCTGTGAGTCTGAAACCCTGAGATGAAACTATGTTGGGGTGAACACTTCACAGTGAATGGATGTACCTGTGAGGTTGATTGACAGTTTTAATGACCCATCGGTTTTGTTGAATGATTAGATGAGTAACTGAGCCAGTTGGAAGATTGGTATAGGCCAAGCTAGTGATAAGCTGACTGTGACAGACCTTCTTTTGGCCAAGCCAACCACTCAAATATTGCCTGTATTTTTCCATCTACAGACAAACTCGCCAATAAGCTGTCTGATTCCATGATGTCTATGCTTGACCTCTCTGGCAACTGCGACGACACTGCTGGTGACTGATCAGCTGATCTTCCCCTCATACTGCAAACACTGATTCCTATGGGGATGGGATTCCTAAGGCATTCGATTCTCCCTGATGTACCTACATAGTAGAAGAACACCTCCCATGCCATGCCCTCCATTGTCACTAGTTCAGAGTCTCAAAGGTCTGGAGCTGCCAAACCCCAGTGCCCTCCACTTAATTCTTACTGTCTTTGAAAATGACTTTTTGTTTGTTTTTGTGGTGCCAAGGATTAAACCTAATAGGTCCTCACACATGTTAGACAAACATTCTATTACTAAGCTCTATCATCATCACCATCATCATCATCACCATCACCATCATCCATTATCATTGGAGAAAGATTCTTGCTATGGATCCCGTTCTGCTTACTCAGCCTCTGGAGTAGTGGGATTACAGGCTTTTGCCAGCACTCCCAGCTCCCACTGTGATTTACAAGATAAAATACCAGCAGTATCTTGGCATGGTAGCTACACATCTATAATCCTGGCACTCGAGAGACTGGAGCTAGGAGGATTGCAAGTTGTAGGACAGCCTGGACTGTCTGACAAGACCTTTCTCAGCAAAACAACCCAGAACAAGTGAGTAGAGCTGAGGCAGTGGTGGCACATGCCATTAATCTAAGCTCGTAGGAAGCAGAGATGGGCAAATCTCTGAGTTCTAGGTCAACCTGGTCCAGGGCTACACAGTGAAACTCTGTCCTGACAAGCCAATAAGTAAATAAATAAGATTGTAATTGTTAAAAATACAAATAAGCCAAGTCCATGTGCTAGCAATGTACCCTGTACTCTTAATTCCTGTGTCCCACTCTGTGGTTTAGGCTAATAAGGGTTGACCTCCTGGACAGGTGAATGTTCTAAGGGATACACTGCTGAGAAATCTGGTGGCAGTGGTGGTGGGGTTGTCCCTGGACAGGTGATCCTCTTTGTTTTTGTCACCCCACAAGACCTCAGTGCCTGGACATTCCTAAGGCTCTTGGCTTTCCAATTCAATAGGTAGGCCTTCATCTGGGTATCGTAGGAGTAGAGAAGCACAGTGGTGAGTCCTCTATATTTCTGGAAGTGTCGGGATAGGGAAGAGGGCTGAAGATTCTAGAATGGGGTATATGTATCATAGGACGTTTGAAAGTCATTGGCTGCAGGATGTTCAGACAGATTTAGGTACTGACTGAGCACAAACTACAAAATTCAGAATCAGCTTATGTCCTTCAGCCTTCAATATATCCATCCCTACCAGGAAGGGGTAGGGTTCAGAAAGTTGACAGAGTGTGCTCACAACAACATGGTTTAAAACAAGTGTAATTAAAATCATATGCTAGCCTTTTGTTCTGTAATGTATCGTCTTCTCAACACAGGAGCACTGGTCAGGCACCTACCCTGTGGTGTTTTCTGTTGTCAATCCTTCTAAATGCATCTTTAAAAACTGGCAGCATTTTATGAAAACTATGCTTTTCAAGTCTCTTAAATGATGTTCAACTTAATTCACTGATGTCATTGAAGTTTTGGTAGATAATAATGTACTAGAAATAAAAGCGTCTAGATCCTTGGGAACACAATCTAGCCAAAATAGAATAGAACTAAAATAATCATGGAATGATAAGAATTTCAGACTCCAACCAGGTTAGTGGCTCACACTCAGGATGCCGAGGCAGGAGGATGGCTGTGAATCTGAGTCCAGCCTGGACTGCAGAGGAAGAGGCTGTCTCAAAGCAAAACAATAATAATACTCTAACCCTAATGTATCTTAAGGGTGTGTGTGTAACCCAGGGTAGTCTTGAACTCCTGAGCCTTCTGAATAGCTTCCCAATGCTGGGATTACAGAAGTTTGCCCTCATGCCTGGCTGGGTCTTAATTCTTAAAGCAATTTCTTGGATCTTTATTCTTAAAAAGTAATTTTTCTACAGTGAATTTCATCCTTTATAATTTTAAGTTCCGTAACTTCGGACACTTATTAACAGGGGTGGTCTGCCACCATTATCATGATACAAAATTTTTAGCCAGGTAGTGGTGGCACATGCCTTTAATCTCAGCACTCAGGAGGTAGAGGCAGGAGGATCTCTGAGTTTGAGGCCAGCCTGGTCTACAGAGTGAGTTCCTAGACAGTCAGAACTGTTACACAGAGAAACCCTGTCTTGGAAAACAAACAAAACAATAACAGCAAAAAAGTATACAGAATTTTTGTGATATTCTCCCCAAACTTACCATATCTCCTTGTAATATAGCCCTGTCCCTATCCTCAGATCCTAGCAAGCACTGATCTTTTTCCTGTTCCTTAACATGGACATTTTAAGTCACATAGTGGCTTGTTTTATGCCATTAGGCTTTTAGCTTTGTACTTTGAAATTGTATATTCGAGTAAAATATAGTTGCATAATCCCTGGTAAATGGATAAAGATGAGTAACCATGAACACAAGAACAGAAAGATTCTATTAGTATCCCCCACCATCTCCTGCTGTGATGTGCAATCTAGTTCTCTGGACCTAACCCATGGCAATCACTGACCTATGCTTACACTTTCTGCCTTGTCTCTTGAAAAGAGTTGTAAGTGGAATTGAACAGTATGTAACTTTTGAGAATAGCCTGCTGTGAATTATAGATTTGAGATCAGTATCACTGGGTATATCAATAGTTCTGATTTCTATTTCATACTCCATTGTGTGGATGTACTACTGCTTATTCAATCTCAAGTTGGAAGACATTCTTTACAGTTGAGGAGAAAATTATGAATAAAGCTGCTATAAGAACTTGAGTGAGACTGTTTTCATTTCTTTGGCATTACTACCTGGACTTGGATTGCTAGAATATATGGTAAGCATATGTTTAACATTCTAAGAAACTGCTTAACTTGTTTGTTCATTAAAAACACTATTTTGCCTGCATGTATATCTGTATACCATATGCATGACTTGGTGCCCACAGAGGCCAGAAAAGGAAGTCAGATTCCATGGAACTGGATTATGGGCACTTGGTTGTGAGCCACTGTGAGGGTTCTGGGAACTGAACCTGAGTCTTCTGCAAAAGTACTCTTAACTGCTGAGCCATCTTTTGAGCTCTAATGTACATGTTAAGTTTACTTCAAAAATTCTTTGGTTTTTATTTTTGATACACACAACACACACAATATCATCTTGTTGATGAACATCTAGGCTGGTTCCTTAATTTGTCTATTGTAAACAATATAGCAATGAACAGGGATGTGCAGCTACCCCTGTGTTATGCTGATTGGATTCCTTCAGGTATATATTCAAGAGTTAGTATAGCTGTTTTGTATGATAGTTGTACTTTTTAAAGGTTTAGTATGTGTGTGAGTGAATGCCATATGTGTGTGGCTGCCTGAGGAAGTCAGGGAACGTCAGATTCCTTGGAGCTGGAGTTAGAGTTGCCAGGAACCAAACTCTGCTCCCTTGGAACAGCAACACGTCTTTGTAACTATGGAGCTGCCTCTCAGGTCCCAATAGTTGAATTTTTAGCTCTTCGAGGAGTCTCCACATTGCTTTCCATAGTGGCTACACCAGTTAATGATGCCATCAGCAAGGATTCCCCACATTCTCACAAGCGTTTATTGTCATTTGTTTTCCTGATAATGGCCATTCTGACTCAGGTAAGATGGACTCTCAAAGCAGATTTGTTTCATTTGTTTTTTTGAGGCAGGGTTTCTCTACATAGGCTGCAATTCGCTCTGTAGACCAGGCTGGCCTCGAGCTCACAGAGATCCATTTGCCTTTCAAGTGCTGGGATTAAAGGCATGTGCCACCCCCACCTGGCTTCAGAGCAGACGTTGGCAGGTCCAACATTAAAGTCTCTGACCTATTTTGAATTGATGTTTTTGCAGGGTGAGAGAGGTGGGTCTTGTTTCATTCTTCTACAGGCTATCATCAGTACCCTATTTTGAAAAGGCTGTCTTTTCTCCAATGTATATTTTGACAGCTTTGTCAAAGATTAGGTGCATGGGTTTATTTCTGGATCCTCTATTCTGTTTCCATTGTCTATGTGTCTTTGCTAAACCGTTTCCAATGTGGCACCGCCATTCACCTCCCATAAGGACATGAAGGACTCAGTCGTGCATCCTCTGGCTCTTGGCTGGTCGCTGCTCCTCCCCAGCTGAGGTATTCAGTAGCATCTCATTGTTTCGATATGTGTTTCCTAATAACTAATGATTTGATCCTATTCATCCATTCATTTTCCATTCATGTCAAAGTGTTCTGATCTGCTGTTTAGTCATTTGTTTGCAATGTTCAGCATCAGAGCTAGGGTGTTCTTGCATGCTGCACAAGTACTCTACCATTAACCATACCCCACCTTGTACATCTTGTGTTTGTTTTAGTATTTGGAAGATTTTATGCTAGATACAAATTATCAGATAACTGCTTTGTAAAGAAAAATTTCTAGTATGTGACTTAATCTTTTCCTTCTTTATAAACTGTTTTTAAAAATAGAAACAAATATAATTAAGCTCAGAAAAACCCTATTGGCAGATTTAGTTTAAAAGTTGTAGTAAAATAGACATAAAAATTACCGCCTTAATGATTTAAAGTGTACATTTTCCAGTGGCATTGTATGTTCATATCATTATAGTTATCACAAGTCAATTTTAGAATTACTTTCATATCATATACCTAGAACTCTGTGCCTGTTATTATAATGGTCCTGTGTTTCTTCCCTGCAACCACAATTCTATTTTTTCTGTGTATCTGAATTATAACCTCGCACATGCAGAGTCATGCAATATTTGTGCTTATGTGACTTGCCTATTTTAATTCACTTTAATGTAATGTCTTTAAGGTTTGTCCATATTGTTTGCAAATTTCTTTTAAATTTTTCTTTTGAGACAGGGTCTCCCTATGTGGCTTTGGCTTGCCTGGAGCTCACTAGACCTGTCTTAACCTCAAACTCATAGTAATCTGCCTGCCTTTTCCTCCTAAGAGCTTGGATTAAAGTCAAGCATGTGTTACTGTATACAATCTGTAATTTCCTTTTTAAAGTGCTATGTTTTTCAGCATTTAAAGTGTGATTGATAAAAATCATGTTTAAAGGTACCTTTTTGGTTTATTTTACTTTTTTGAGATAGGGTCTCATGTTAACCCAAGTTGGCTTTGAATTTAGAGATGATACGTCTTTTGGACATATACCATTCAAGAGTTATTGGGTCATCTCACGAGAGCTCTGTTTTTAATTTTGGGGCAACTAACATATTTCTGTAATGGCAGTACTAATTTATATTCCCATTAATAGTGTATAAAAGATCCTCTTTGCTTGGGTGGTGGTGGCGCACACCTTTAATCCTAGCGCTTAGGAGGCAGAGGCAGGTGGAGCTCTGTGAGTTCAAGGTCAGCCTGGTCTACAGAGTGAGTTCCAAGACAGTCTCCAAAGCAATTCAGAGAAACCCTGTCTCAAAATACAAAACAAAAAATAAAATAAAACAGAGATCCTCTTGGGCTGGAAAAATGGTCCTGCAGTTAAGAGCTCCTACTCTTCCAGGGGGCCTGAGTTTTATTCCCAGAACTTCCATTGGGAAACAGACCACTCGTGCTCCAGGGGATCTGATGCCCTCTTCTGGCCTCCTCAGGCATCTGCAATCATATGGACCCCCAACACAACAAAAATTTAAAAATAAGAATAAATCTTAGTTTGCATAAGAGTTCCTCTATCTCTGTATCCTCCCTAAAACTTGCTGTTTTACTTTTTATTTTCATTCTTGGTTTTGAAATAGGATCTTGTTATATAGCCCAGGCTGCTCTCAAACTCTTTAAGAATCCTGCCTCTGCCTCTGTCCTATCCCATGTGTATGCCACTATGCCTGACTTCTCTTGCTGTTTTTACAGTATACACTGTAACATGTCATATGATATGCCATTGCGATTTTGATTTGGCATGTCTTCATTGTAAATATTATTAATATACTTGGACAAGTTTGTTTTTCATCAGCAAAATTATTGAGCAGCGAGTATATTCCTAGCATAGAGCTAGGCATGTTACATTAAGATGAAAAGGCAAGTTTTGTTCCCTCAAGGATCTCTTGGTCTACAGTGAAAATACCAATAAGGTTGTTGCTACAGCAGAGGTTTCTGCAGTGAGTCTTCGTAGCCTGGGATACAGGAGGCCTAATTTGGCAAGGAGAGGGGTCATGGAGGAACTGAGATTTGAAGAGTGTGGGAAAAGCCCTGCTAGGCAAATAGAGAGTAGATGCAGGCAAACAGCTCATTCCTGGGACAAAAAATAGCATTTTTTCAAGGACAGGGTCTTTTCCTCATTGTTGGTTCTTGTCAATTTTGTTCAAAGTGGATCTCGATGTGTGAATCTATGCCAGTACCAGACTTTTTTTTAAAATTAGGCATGTGATATAATCTGAAATTAAGAAGTCTGATGCTTGTAGATTTATCTATGAATGAAGGACTGTTTTGAATTTTAGGATTTTTTTCTAGAATTTTCATAGTGATTACATTGAACTTGTAGATTACTTTGGGTACTATGGACATTTTAATACTAATTTCCATGCTACCTGAACATGGGTGTCTTTCCACTTATTTGTATCTTTATTGTTTTTCTTTTCCTCTTGTTTTTCTACCCCCATTCTCTTTCCTTTAATTGATTTTATTTTTATCATGACCATTTTTTTTGTTTGTTTGTTTGTTTGTTTTTCGAGACAGGGTTTCTCTGTGGCTTTGGAGGCTGTCCTGGAACTCACTTTGTAGACCAAGCTGGCCTCGAACTCACAGAGATCCTCCTGCCTCTGCCTCCCGAGTGCTGAGATTAAAGGCGTGCGCCACCAACGCCCGGCTTTTATCATGACCATTTAAAAAGTTTTTTTTTAACATTTTAAGTGTATGCATGTATGCTTGCTTGAATGTATGTATGGCACATGTGCACATGGTGCCTAGCACTCCCAGAGGTCAGAACAAGGTGGTGGATCCTTAGACCTAGACTTATGGATGGTTATAAACCATCAAGTTTGTACTGGGAACTGAACTCTGGTCCTCTGTAAGAGCAGCAAGTGGTCTTAATGACTAAGCCATCTCCCCACCCCCTATGCTGTTATTATTAAATTTATTTTATGTGTAGGAGTGCTTTGCCTGCATGTATGTTTGTGTACTATTTGTGTTCCTGGTGCCTATAGAGACCAGAAGTGTGTGTTGGGTCCCCTGGAATGGTAGTTACAGACAGTTGTGAGTTACTATGTGGTTGCTGGTAGTTGAACCTGAGTCCTGGAAGAGCCATCTCTCTAGTTCTTTTATATATATATATATATATTTATATATATGCATATATGCACACACACATATATATATATTATAGTTTTATACACATACACATATTTTTGCGACAGGAGTTCCTTTGTGTAGCTCTGACTGTCATGGAACTTGGTCTGTAGACCAGGCTGGCTTTGAACTCACAATGCTGGGATTAAAAACATATGCCACCACTGCCTGGCCTTTTAAACAATAATTTAATTTAAAAATGTAATTTTTAGGCCTGGAGAGATGGCTCAGAGGTTAAGAGCACTGACTGCTCTTCCAGAGGTCCTGAGTTCAATTCCCAGCAACCACATGGTGGCTCACAACCATTGGTAACGAGATCTGGTGCCCTCTTCTCACCTTCAGGGACATGTGCAGACGCAATACTGTGTACATAATAAATAAACAAATAAAATGTAATTTTTATTTTATTATTGTTGTAGGTGTTTGGCTGTTTTGCCTGCATGTGTGTCTGTGCAGTGCCCAAAGAGGCCAGAAGAGTACACTGGATCCTATG